GCAATCGGCGCGATCAGTGTGAGCCTGCGGACCTGGCCAGCGTCGCGATGCTGCTGAACGCTTGGCCGCCTCTGCGGCGTCCACCTCAGGCGTGCTGCATGTAGGAGGAGACGGGCGTGTCCCAGAACCCCTGGCGCCTCGACAAGAAAAAAAACGCGGCACCGTTCCCTCGTGTGTCTCGTCGTCCAGGGAGCGCTTCTGCCCCCCCCCCCCCCTCCCCCCCGATGGGGCAACCGGGGAGAGGACCACAGACCAGCGATAGGCCCCCGCTGCCGACTCCGCACGGTCCTGGATGGGGGGAGAAGCCACAGGCCTGGGGAGAAGTAGCGAGCACGCATGCCACAGTCATCGGCCCACGCCTGCCCCCTCCCCCAACTGTTCAGAGCTGGCGGTGGGTCTGATGAGCTGCGCTTCGACCGCAGTCTCCCCCCCCCCCCGCGCGCACCAACTTCGAGTCAGGGGGGAGCGGGGGAGCGTCCGCCAATTGTTCCCCCCCCCCCCCCCACACCGCATGTCCACCGCCTGTGGAACCGACGTCCTGGGACCCCAGCGGACTACGGATAATCAGATTCGGGCCCCAGGGGACCCGACTACATATCAATAACCGCAGCAATTCGGGGGGGGGGCGGTCTTCGCGGGAAAATATCTCTGGCACCGCGCAAAAAGAAAAGGAACATAAATAATTCCCGCGCCTTGGCTCGGGCTTGTAGGATTCCTAGATATTCATATTCCCCTCCTGACTCGTGCCACTGCCGCTGCGACGGTAATGTTATCTGAGGATGTCTCAGGCGAGGCGCTTGTTTCAGAACCACACGGAGGCCAGATTGCGAGAATGTTTCAGGCGGTTTCCTTGTTTCAGCGGGCAGACTCGTTTGGTTTCAAAGCAGGTTGCGAGGTGCCAGGGTAACGCTTCCAGGGTGCTGGAGCGTTCTAATTTCGCCGGAGAAGGGGGGGGGTTCTTAATTGCTTCTCCGGGTTATCCGCCGCCTGTCGAGGTCTTCGAAGACCGATCCTCCAGAAGAATAATCCCCGCCTCGGAGAAGGGGCCTTCGTGATTAATGTATAAATTCCCGCCTCGGAGAAGGATGAAGTCGAGGAGGGGGTGCGAGGTGGGGGGGATGAGGAGGGAGCAGTGCGGGTCGGGACGAGCGAGGCCGCTTCCTCCTCCTCCTCCTCCTCCTCCTCCTCCTCCTCCTCCTCCTCCTTCTCCCGCCGGGAGCCCCCAGGCACTCCAGACGCAACAAGAGGCCCTTCACAAACCGCAGACCACGCACTGTCTGCTCGTCGCGGCCGTGTCGCCGCGGCGACCGCGGCGACCTCGGGCAGCAGCCCCACGAGGGTGCAGCCCGCATAATTTTACTTGCTCCTCCAGCGGCGAGGCGACGGCACGCCGCGAGCGCGCCAAACCCAGGACCAGTCCGGCGAATTTTCCACCTGGCGTATATAGCGGGTGGGCGGCCTGTGCGGAGGCAGAACCCAACCAGCCACAACTGGGGGAGCTGTGGTCCTTTCCCCCCTGGGGGAACCCCTCGCATCGACGACCTCTCGAGAGGGGTGTCGAAATCGATGGGTCCCCCAGGGTGGTAAGGACCACAGCTCCCCCAGTTGTGGCTGGCCTGAGAAACTCGCAGAATGGGGCGAGAACGCGCATGCGCACGAGGACGCCGCGCTGCGGCCATGCAGATGCGACGAGCGCGCCCCGCTGCTCGCAGAGGAGCTGCTCGCAGACGGCCCAGATCCGCTGCGGGGGGACGAACGAGACGCGGCATCGAGGAAGACAGATCATTCCTGGACGGCCGCGAGTAGCGAGGCACCTTGCGAGCGGTGGAACGCGCCCGGTGACAAATGCGAGGCCCAGAGGCAGAGAAGAGACGCGGTGCGACAGCGACGCGGGGGCGAGGATGCGCCCGCAGGCGGCAAACGGCGAGCCCGGTGCCGACGGGACCCGACTGTGAAGGGCGAGGCGGGGCCGGCCGGGGCGGGCACCGCGGGCTCCCAGAAGCTCGCACTTCGCGCCGCGCGAAGCGCCGAAGGCGACTGCCGAACACCTTCGCGCTCTCGCGCCGCCCCCCCCCCCGGGTGGGGCCCCCACCGCCGCCGTGGCCCCAGACCGCGGACCGCGACGGACTTCGCGCCCCTGTGGGGGCCCCCCGGGCACGTGCACGACGGGAGGCCGCCGCCGCCGCCAGGCCGTGCGCGTGACAACCGCGGAGAGCAGCCCTCTGCTCCCGGACAGCAGCATGCCCCGGCGGAGGAGCCGGCGATCGGGCCGCCGGAGCGGCGAGGCGCGCCCCCAGGCACCGGCGGCCGGGCGGCTCCGCACGGGCACGCTGGCCGCGAGGGGCACCGAACGTGGGGCGCAGGAGGGCATGCCAGTGCTGCGTGCTTCTGTTGGAGGCGCCCGCCTGGCCCATGCACGAGTAGCCCACATCTTGTAGATGATGCCGCGTCCCGAGCGGCCTTGCCGGAAAGCGCCCACTGCCGAGCATCTGCCAACGTGCCTCTGTGCACGGAGTGGGCGTCTCATCAAGCCCTTTGCCCAGTCCCTTCAGCCTCAGTCCAAGGTCCTGAAGAGTCGTTCAGGGGCCTGGACCCCGATATAGCTTGGCTGGGCGTTGGCCCAACGGGCGTTGGCCCACCGTTTGGCCACGTAGGCGTTTCCGAGAGGGCACGGGGCGGCGGTGATTCGCCACAGGCGTCTTCGATCAGGAAACAGATGGAGGTGCGAGCAGCCCGAGGCGCAAGGAAAAGAGGTGGAGGAGGAGGAGGAGGAGGAGGAGGAGGAGGAGGAGGAGGAGGAGGAGGAGAAGGAGGAGGA